TCCTTTTGGGCAATAATCTCGAGTATCAAGAAAAAGTTCATTAAGAACTTGAGGAAGTTTTCAGAGATTCAAAGACACCAGCCAGCGTAAAGGAGCTGTCGCAGTTAAAGTATCTTGAGAGGATCATAAAAGAAACGCTCAGAATGTCCCCAAGTGTACCCATAATCACAAGGAAATTAGCAGAAGATGTAAAAATAGGTATGACAGAATTTTTAATATCAAAATAAAAAAAATCTTAAGATATTTACATGTATCTGTAAATTTGAAAATATTCTCAATGAAACGGTAATATTTTTACTTAAATGATGAAAAGAATGTATTTCTGTTTAGAGAGATATCTTTTTCTTATTTATTAAAGACTAAAGAAAACGATTTGGCAAAAGACCAATACTTTAAAATCCATTTTAGATAGCCTCCAATTTGTGATAAAATCTAAGATAAAATTTTATTTATTTTTTTATGCCTTGCGTGAGTGTGAATTCGTCAATTGTTTTTAATACAAATAGAATTTTATCATGAATTATCATATAGAGATTGTCTAATATAGATTTGATATTATATTATTGTGGGTTTTACAAAAACCTTAAATTATAAGGGAGAAGCATTTATAAATTTTAGAATAGAACATTATTTATATTTATATATATTAAATAAGTTTATCAATATAAAGTTTTATGTGTGACAGAATACAGTCTATAACAATGTGTTTTATTTCAGCCGATTATATGCTTCCGAAAGATGCTACAGTCATATTGGGAATCTCATTAACGCATACAAATCCAGAAATTTGGTCAGATCCAAAAAAGTTCGATCCAGATCGCTTTCTTCCGGATAATTCGAAACATAGAAATCCATATGCCTACGTTCCATTCAACGCTGGACCAAGAAACTGTATCGGCCAGAAATTTGCTTTACTCGAAGAGAAAGCGGTATTAACAGCCATTTTGAGAAAGTGGAGAGTGAAAAGTGTAAAAGCAATGGATACAGTTCAATACGGGCTCACTATCACTTATCGACCGTGCGAAGAGATATTCATCCATTTCACGCCAAAGAAATAATTAATTTATCATACCATATACTCTATACACTTTTATGTATACCTTGAAATATATGGTGACGGTTTCGACGTTCTCGTCGTACAGAGGATGACATGATATAACGGATCGTAAATACCGAAATCGTAATATTGGCATATAATAATGAAATTTTATATATACTTACGTTGAGGATGAACACTTGATGCGATACTTGTTATAATTTTTCTCGAGATATTTACTTTGAAACAAAAAAATGACAAACGCGAAAAATACAGAGCCATTTGAATTTTGCGATCCATCGCGGTACATTTCGACAATTACCGCAAAATACGAAATCGAATAATTAAGTATCTCAGTAGATAGTGGGCACTATGGGGCGTCAAAACAAACCCCCACTCCTCAGCCACTGGCGCCGACCCCCTGCTGTGACTGTCTGGGGCCCTCCCCCCTAAAGGTGTCTGTGGAAAAAAAGAATGGAGGGGATTTGTGGACGTCTACGAGACAACTTTCCTTTTAAAATTTTTAAACATTTTTTACCCTTTAAATTTATTTCCTTTTAAATTTTTTTATTTTTTTATTTTTTCCGGTTGCGTGAACATGCTTGGGCTCGAACCTGGGTCCTCCACCTCTCCAAACAGGGTCCTAGTATGCTGGGCTAGCTGAAAACTTATTAGAATAGAAGTTAAACATAGTATTTGTGTGGAGAGTAGTCCACCGCTAAGATAGGGGTCCTGACGGTCCGATTGGTTCTCCCCATAGTGCCCAGTCCTCCGATTGGTTCCGTCGGTTCCGTCGATTTAAAGTGGGATGAAAAAACGTGCCAAAAATAGTGCGTGGGAGAAAGCGGACAAGTCCTTTTGGGCAATAATCTCGAGTATCAAGAAAAAGTTCATTAAGAACTTGAGGAAGTTTTCAGAGATTCAAAGACACCAGCCAGCGTAAAGGAGCTGTCGCAGTTAAAGTATCTTGAGAGGATCATAAAAGAAACGCTCAGAATGTCCCCAAGTGTACCCATAATCACAAGGAAATTAGCAGAAGATGTAAAAATAGGTATGACAGAATTTTTAATATCAAAATAAAAAAAATCTTAAGATATTTACATGTATCTGTAAATTTGAAAATATTCTCAATGAAACGGTAATATTTTTACTTAAATGATGAAAAGAATGTATTTCTGTTTAGAGAGATATCTTTTTCTTATTTATTAAAGACTAAAGAAAACGATTTGGCAAAAGACCAATACTTTAAAATCCATTTTAGATAGCCTCCAATTTGTGATAAAATCTAAGATAAAATTTTATTTATTTTTTTATGCCTTGCGTGAGTGTGAATTCGTCAATTGTTTTTAATACAAATAGAATTTTATCATGAATTATCATATAGAGATTGTCTAATATAGATTTGATATTATATTATTGTGGGTTTTACAAAAACCTTAAATTATAAGGGAGAAGCATTTATAAATTTTAGAATAGAACATTATTTATATTTATATATATTAAATAAGTTTATCAATATAAAGTTTTATGTGTGACAGAATACAGTCTATAACAATGTGTTTTATTTCAGCCGATTATATGCTTCCGAAAGATGCTACAGTCATATTGGGAATCTCATTAACGCATACAAATCCAGAAATTTGGTCAGATCCAAAAAAGTTCGATCCAGATCGCTTTCTTCCGGATAATTCGAAACATAGAAATCCATATGCCTACGTTCCATTCAACGCTGGACCAAGAAACTGTATCGGCCAGAAATTTGCTTTACTCGAAGAGAAAGCGGTATTAACAGCCATTTTGAGAAAGTGGAGAGTGAAAAGTGTAAAAGCAATGGATACAGTTCAATACGGGCTCACTATCACTTATCGACCGTGCGAAGAGATATTCATCCATTTCACGCCAAAGAAATAATTAATTTATCATACCATATACTCTATACACTTTTATGTATACCTTGAAATATATGGTGACGGTTTCGACGTTCTCGTCGTACAGAGGATGACATGATATAACGGATCGTAAATACCGAAATCGTAATATTGGCATATAATAATGAAATTTTATATATACTTACGTTGAGGATGAACACTTGATGCGATACTTGTTATAATTTTTCTCGAGATATTTACTTTGAAACAAAAAAATGACAAACGCGAAAAATACAGAGCCATTTGAATTTTGCGATCCATCGCGGTACATTTCGACAATTACCGCAAAATACGAAATCGAATAATTAAGTATCTCAGTAGATAGTGGGCACTATGGGGCGTCAAAACAAACCCCCACTCCTCAGCCACTGGCGCCGACCCCCTGCTGTGACTGTCTGGGGCCCTCCCCCCTAAAGGTGTCTGTGGAAAAAAAGAATGGAGGGGATTTGTGGACGTCTACGAGACAACTTTCCTTTTAAAATTTTTAAACATTTTTTACCCTTTAAATTTATTTCCTTTTAAATTTTTTTATTTTTTTATTTTTTCCGGTTGCGTGAACATGCTTGGGCTCGAACCTGGGTCCTCCACCTCTCCAAACAGGGTCCTAGTATGCTGGGCTAGCTGAAAACTTATTAGAATAGAAGTTAAACATAGTATTTGTGTGGAGAGTAGTCCACCGCTAAGATAGGGGTCCTGACGGTCCGATTGGTTCTCCCCATAGTGCCCAGTCCTCCGATTGGTTCCGTCGGTTCCGTCGATTTAAAGTGGGATGAAAAAACGTGCCAAAAATAGTGCGTGGGAGAAAGCGGACAAGATGTCTGACGGAAAGCAAACGTGACGGCAACCGACAAAATGGCGACCGTCGAGACTGGAGATGCGTCTAGGCATAAGTCCCCCAGCCTCCCCTCCCCCTTACGGAAAACCGAAAGATATTGTGCGGTATACAACTTCGCCCCATCGCCCCCCTTAGAGGAAAACCGGGAGATGTACGCTATATGTCGCCCACCCTCTTCCACCCTTCCTGTTGAAAAGAGAAAAATTGGATAAGGTGCCGCTAAAATAATCTAGATGCTATAAAGTGGTAA